CAGGAATGTTTCATCATCGAAGACGGACCATGTCGTTACATTGCAACAAAGATTTTGGCTATTGTCTATTGTATATTGTACTCTTGATCTATGCCGCGGAGCAAAAGCGCATTGCGGATAGCGTCGATAAGGGATAATAAGCTGATGGTGAGACTTATAGTGCTCTGCATGCTTTAATGCTCCCATGGAGCTCATGTCTGTGTGACTCTCCGACAGCGTGCAGAGCTCCTGGAGAACATTAGGCTGAAAGTGCACTCCCGGACACTGCACTTTTCAAGCCGTCTTGCAGCCCGTCTGTGGATACGACCCCCTCCCTTTTCGGTCGGCTGAATACGACCCCCTCGTTGTTCTTTGCGCAACGCAGGGTTGACCCTGGTCGTAACCGCATTGCTCTCCATTCCGCAAAGCGCGGCAACTACTCATATCGCGCGCCTACCTTGCCTATGAGCGGTCGGCTCGTCCCCTGCTCCCGCGCCATTTATTGATCTCGGTGTTTCTTCGTTGCAGTCATTTCAATTGCACGGAGCAGAAACTTCTACTACTGTCTTGTCTGATATTCATACTGTATGATGATGATGATCAAACTGTGATTACTATGACAGCTTTCGCGCTGTTATTCTTCTTCATTGGTCTTGCACCGTGCTGGTGTTATTCTTAGTGAAGTGCTCCCAGATCTCTGGGGCGGAGACGCTATTGCTTCGTATATCAAGCCACCTCACCCGGTGTATTTTACCGATTTTCTTTATACTCTCCCTCTGTGCTGCTAGTTTTACTGTTTGCTGTCTGGTGATTTGGACTTTGCTCCCCGATTGACCAGTAGATCAGAAATCGATTGGACATATACTAAGGCATGGATACACCACACAGATCATCTCTGTTGCAGCAACCAAGAGGAGATTGTGAATAAGGTGTCGCCCGAAAGGATGACTGGGCGAAACTCATGGAGGATTGTGCTGGGCCCAGAGTCCCTGCTTATGTGAGAGCCATCATCAGTGTTCTACTCGATACAAAAATGGAACTGGACTCGATGCGGGAATTTATTAGCAGTCTTGTGGAGGGAAATACCAAGTCCTAAGTCACAAGTCAGTGAGAAGTCAACGTCAGAGAATGATATTGAAAAGAAGCGGTCCGTTGTTATCATTGGGTTGTCAGAACCTAATTCTACTGCTGCGATAGAGCGCACCATGATTTTCAATGT